AGGGTCAGACATTGGGTAAAAAACATATATACAGGAAAGTAGAAATGGAATATTATGGATGATAACATGCATGATTAAGCCACTATCCAGTTTATTCTAGATGGGAAACCACATTTAGTATGTTGTGATGATGCTCAGGGAATGAATGTAAATTAATAAAAAAAAATTTTCAGAAGAAAAAAAAAAGGCATTAAAAATACCTATCTGATGACTGCAGTAAGCTCTATAGCCCTAGGTAGGTGCTACTTTATAGTATGTTCATTCTATTCACTGAGGTTTATGTCTAAAGTCAGACTTGTGTTCATGGATATGTATTTTTCAGCTGTGCTTGCTATTGAAAATATTTATATTTATTAAGATATTTAGTGAAACAATAAAATGGGGGAGGCAGAGAAAGCAACAATAGATACCAGACACAATGTGGGAGGTGGGTGGGAGTTGGCATAGAGTGAGATAGGGAATCAAGGATGGGAAAAATGGCAAAATATACAGAAAACAAGAAATGGAAAGTTATGTGTTGACAAATAACACATATGTTGATGTGCTTGATTGAGCCAATATACAGTGTACTGTGAATGGAAAAATCTCATTTTGTATGCTATAATGATGTACAGTGAATGAATGTAAATAAATAAATAAAAATAAATTTTAAAAAAAAGAAGGATAAACTTGTAGTAATCTCTTTGTATAGAACTGACTTGGACATATTTATAAGAGAAGAATTCATTGTTCATGGTAGCACCTAAGTACTCAGGCATGTTAAGTAATCATCAAGTCAATTATCTATAATTTTAGATGATAAGGGCATATAAAAATTAGTTATGTAGTACTGGCCCCATGGCCTAATGGTTAAGGGAACTGGATCCCATATAGCCAATTAAATTTTGAATCTTGTTCCTAGCAGCTTAGAAAACATGCTAGGTGCATGTGCATATATGCTCCACATCTCAGCAGGATGGAGAAATGGAGGAGAAAGAATTACAGTATGACCATGTACCATTGGAGAGGGTGTGCTTTCTATCTCCCCCTCTCTTTGTCTCTCTCTCTCATGAGTTCATGTGCCCTCTGGCAAATTAAAGAAACAGTTAATCTAGTCAGCAGGTGGCTTGGAGTTTAGAGTGGCTGAATCCCACAAGGCAAACTCCAAAGTTCCAGTCCCAGACCCGGTGGCTTGAGAATCACACAGGGCATGTATAAATGTATGCCCATGGTCAAAATCTCAGAAGAGACTGGATTGGGGCATGTCCATTCTCCACACTCCCTTGAGGTGATTCTCACTTATTTTCTCTCTCTTTCTCTCTGATGCTCTCAGGTGAGTACAAATGCTCCATAACAAACTTAAAAAAAAAATGGTAAACAAAAAAAGATAAACAACTAGTTATCTAGTCACTCAAAGGTTTTCTGCCTTTACATTACAAGGACTACATCTAGTTTTTTACAAACTCAGTTCTCTACATTGCCTTGGGTTGACTCAGCCACAGAAACATTAGAATTAGAATGTTATTCCTTGATTTGTTTCCAAAAGTAACAATTTAATCACAGAATTAAAATGACAAGAGACCGAGAAGTTGTCAACCTTTTGTTTCCAGACTACACTCAATATGTTCAAATAATTTGAATTTACTTCTGTAGCACATGAGGTACTTTTTTTCCCTCTTTTTCTAAAGAAAATTTCCAGGTCAAGGATACAATTGGATTTGGGGCTGGCAGGTGGCATTGTGGTTAAGGGTCCTGGGCTCCCACATGGCCAACCGTGGTTCAAGTCTCAGACCTGGTGGCTTGCTTTCTCACTTTCCCTCTCTCTCTCTTTCTCACTCTGGCCCTCTCTAGCCAAATTAAAATAAGCAAAGTTAATTAAAAAATAATTCTTTTTTAAAAAAAGGATACAATGAGATTTCAAGAACTCATTACCTAACTTCCAAAACC